AAATTATAAACTGAGTATAAGCAAAATTTGTACTGATATTAAAAACTGAGTATAATTATAAACGCAGTATAAAGCAAATATTAGTACAAATTTTGCTTATACTCAGTTTATTCCTAAGTTTAACTTTATACTGCGTTTATTCAAGTATTCTATATACTAATATAACTAGCTGATATTATAAAAATACCTTAATTGTTTACATTTCTAGCACTTTTAATAGCAAACATCAAGATTCAAATGCACAAATGAAAATGAAAATGTTTGCCATTGGCTAACAATTAATATGACAATCTTTTTTCTTGGTTTATTGCCTTGCAGTTTTTGTCCCTTTCCCGCATGGTATTTTTTCAAATTCATTTACCCCCTAATTTTAATAACGTGAAAATATATAGCCTAAAGCGTGACGTAAGTGTAGGGCTTTTTATTAAAGAAAGAATTATTCAAAAATATGGTGTAATTGCTGACATCTTACGTCACAAAGTAGTGTGTGTTTACGCTTTATTATATTAGTATAGAAATATAGATATATTACAAAGTACTTACAATGTTTCATAGTATTATAGTCCTCATTCCTCTCCTTGTGGAACTTCCCCAGCTCCTGGAGGAACTCCCTGTCTTCTGCACTCTGTCCCTCCCCCTGGCCCTCGCTGTCCTCATCACTCCGGCGTTCAAGACCACCGTTACGTAAAGAAAGACGTCGCGGCGTCAACTGTGGTAACATACTTCATATATGAATTAATATTTATATAACTGACTATTCCAAAATAATAAACAATTATGACATTATATGATTACTAGCTGTTGCCGTGCGGCTTCACTCGTATCAAATTACAAAAGAAATACTGTTTACATTTGTCAAATTCTCAATTCCAAATGTCATTTGCTTCCTTAACGTTTGTTGTAGTTTATGATCCCTTTCCCACAATTTACCAATTTATTTACCCCCTTAAGTTTAATAGCATGAAAATATATATCCTAAAGCGTGATGTAACTGTAGGGCTTTTTATTACAAAAGGAATTATTCAAAAATATGCTGTAATTGCTGACATCTTAAGCCACAAAGTATGTTAACGCTTTATTATATTAGTATAGTTATATTGAAATAACTCAAAAACTACTGGGTCGATTTCAAAAATTTTTACACCATTAAAAAGCTACATTATCACTGAGTAACATAGGCTAAATTTTTCGAGAGCAACGTAAAAATAGGTATACTTACGGGATATTCTCTGGGCATGATAGCATCAGGATCATCACTATCAGATCTGGAAGCTGAGCGCGACCTCGCGCGACGTCTGCGACCACGCGGCCGACCTTTCAGTCGCGGGGCGAGGTGGTTGCAAACAAATTCATGCCCTTCTAACTCTGGATACTCAAATGTTTCCTGGAATACATTTTTTATATTACAAGATAAATATTTGAAGCCAATCCGCATTGTGCCAGCCAATGACCTAATCACCATAATTTCTTATTATTTTTTAAATTATGAGGTGGTAAACGAGCAAGCGGCCACCTGAATCCGCTGAAATTGCGAAGTGGCTACCCATAGACATCCGCAATTGCAAACGCGTTGCCTACCCTTCATCAAAGGAGTAGAAGACGCATATAAAGAGGATTTCTCCTTCCTATATGTGTCCTCCTCCGTAAAATCTTTTTCCTTCCCATTCTTCCCTCTCAAAGCACTCCTTGAGAGAAAAGAATGGGTCCCATTCTCTTATAAAATTGGGCTGCGGGCTCCACACTCATCAGACTGTACACAAAATTGCTTCCACTTCACGCCTGTCTTCTGTGTGGTCGTAGTATTGCTGGGACGAGCCCTAAACTGCGAAGATGTTACAGCGGGCACTACCACTGTTAAACCTAACTAGGTAACTAACCTTGCAATATAAAATCCTAGTATTCTTTGTGGGCGCAGCATACCCTCCTAATGCGGCAACCAGAGAGTCCCGTAACCAGTCCGCTTGCATACCATCGAGTCGGGCGATTATTGCCCGGTACCTACAATACCGGGGGTAGGAGAACACCATCACTCCGGGACTATCCGCGTCAATACCTGAAAAGAACTTCAATTAAAATTTAAAGTATCTGGTAAATATATGATTTTTATATGAAAAATAACAAACGAGCGGCTATTATCCGTTGAGAAAGCGATTTCTGCCCAGACATTTGAAATTGCAGATACGTTGCCTACCCTTAATCGACAAAGACGCACATAAATAGGATATTTCCTCTTCATATGCGTCTCCTCTACCTTAAAATCTACTTCCACTATATACTTTTCTAGGGATAAGGAATAAAAATGACACCTTCACCACCTCACTCATCAGACTACACGGTATTGCTTCCACTTCACACCGTCTTCTGTATGGTCACAGTATTGTGTGAAGCCCTACAGTGCGAAGGTATTAAGACTCCTAACACTGTTCTATTGAAACGTTTTTTTAACGCGCGTTATAAAAACGCTCGCGCGAATTATGAACGCGCACACCTTTGAATAAACTATCACACAACTGTTTCTTCTCGCTTGATTGCTTTGAGCTTATATAGAGGTGACACTATTCGATTTTTAGTTGAGTTAACAAAATAATCGACAATCGCACAACTGTTGTGCGACAGTTTAGTCATTTCTCTATTCATACAAAACTTACTCATAGCATTCTTTTCTCTCTCCACATCACTGAAGTCAAGTTTGGTATGATGGAGGGGGGCTGTCACTGCTGGGTCAGCTGGCGGGGCGCAGGCTCCGCGCCACACTGCGCGCAGCCCCCACCGCCAACCGGAGCCCTCGGACACCCAGCTGAGAAGGTCCTCAGCTCTGACGACCACTTTGTCATTGATAGCGAGGACTTCGTCCTGGAAAAACAGGAAAACTTGACGTTATTAAACGTTACATATCCTTTTCTACCTAAAGCAGAAATAAAATAGTTAAACACAGTGGAATCCAATAAAAATATATAACGAACTACAATATAAAATAAGGGCCTGTCCCACTATTGGCTGATAGAGGCTCAGATAGCTTAAAAATGACGTCACTGTCATATAAGAGAACAAAATCCGATATTCCCATCAAATTTTACACGTTGAATTATTATCAGACAATTTACAATTTGGTAGTACCCTTAAAAAGTAAATTGTTTATATACCCTCAAATCACATATCAATATAATTTATTGTATTGAAATTGCGAATAGTTGTCAATAAATATATAAATACTAGCTTTCGCCAGCGGCTTCGACCTCGTGAAAATAAAAAAAATAATAAGTTGCCTATGAGTTCTCCTAGACTATCCTCTACATCTATGCCAAATTTTACCAAAATCCGTTCAGCAGTTTAGGCTACAAACTCTAACAAACATCCAGTCATCTAAACTTTCGCATTTATAATATTAGTATGATTTCTTTTTATAACAAAAGATGGAGTTTATTACATTTAAAAATAATTTATTACGTGTCAATACAAGGTGGTACAACTGTGTGGTACAACTGTTACTACTTTTCAGAGAAAGTACAGGTGTACAATTTGCACATTGTCAAGTCTATATATTTTTAAAGTCTAATAAAATATATTTCATGTCTTCGTTTACAAAAATTCGTCTTCTGATCGCAAAAACTCAAAACTTTCACATTGTAACAATGTAATCGTATTTATTTAATTAACGTTCCGTTTAGAAAGTTAAATAATGAAGTAATTCAGAAATAAATCCGTTCCCAGTCCGGCCCGCTCGTGTGGGGGTGAGAAGGGAGACGATACAGGGTCGGACTCTGCGTCGAAAAATCAAAAAGTAGGTTATTGCAGATTAATCTTTTATACAAAGGAGTTTATTTCGACTATTTAGATAACGTCAAATATTAATAATAAAAATCCTTGAAAATAGTAAACCTCCCTTATTGTAGCTGTTATGTCTATATTGTACAATTATTATTACTTTTATGTCAGTCGTAACACATACAAAAACATACAAACGAATTGAGTACCTTCTTTTGGAAAGTCGGTCAAAAATAACTCTATCACCGTCATCTCAGTCACTCCCTTTTTGATCATGTCACCTTTCACACAATCCATCTCTTTCTATAAACCTCTACCAGTATACCACACTCGTCACTTAATCTCAATTTTAACCAAAACCAATATCAAGATATAAAAAATATACGTGACATATTTTTATTTAACAAGATAAGAAATATATCACATAAGCAAACAAAGAAAAATAACCACGAAGTCCGACTCTGGTGCCTCCCTATGTGGGCGACCCTTGCGAACAATCAGGGGAGCATACCTATCCAATATCGAGAAATATGTTTACGCCTTATTTTCCTGATGGGGTTGCCACTTTATAATTATCCCTCTATTATAATATTAAATCTATTATTTAAGGGTTAAAATAATCTAAACATAAAGCAGAGACATACAACATGACATAGAAATTTAGCTAGAAAAATACTCGTATATTACAGTTTGTCAGTTGAGTATTTGCTTCATACGAATATCTAGATAAAATGGTCATCATCTGTCTTATAAATGCGAAAACTTAGATGGATGAATGTTTGTTAAAGAGTTTATAGCGTAAACGGCTAAAATTTCGATTAAATTTGGCATAGATGTAGAGCATAGTTTGAAAGTATAGATGGATTGTGTGAACGAGGATATGCTTAAGAAAGGATGTAGCACATACTGTGCCGACCCTCAAGGGATAAGGGCAAGTTGATGATGGTGTAGAGCATAGTCTGGAATTACACATATGTATACTTTTGTTTTTTAAAACTTAAACCCGTACAGTTCAACTGACAGTTAATATTTTACCCGCAGACTGTACTGTTAAAACTATCAGAGTAGTGGGTACGTACCGGGTGTTAGGTTGAACACAAGTGTTGGCAAAAAACATTCCTATTGTTTTTTCTATTCTTAAAAACTTAAATTTTGATACATGTTCAATACAGACTTGTTTACAAATGTAATTTCCATCAAAATAAATATTATCGACAGTGGAATAAATAAAAATCAAATAGACATTTATTACTTGTATAAAATAAAACACACTATTAGATAACGAAATTATTATAAAGATTAATAAACTAAATATAAACGTCAAGTCCGACCCTGTGTAATTCTAAATGAAAGAGGGAGGGGGGAGGCTGAACTAAAATTGCTTTCGAATAAGTAACCAGCGCGGCTGTATTCTGGTGTGCATAGTGCGATATCGTTTCGACGTCGTTTTTGAATCGTGTCTACTTAAAAATATTTGATTCCAATATATAATTTTCCTTTCAGCCAGCTTTTTCTATAGTTAAAATTTAAAAATAAATTAAGTTGTACATTCAGAAAGATCTCTTGCAAACAGTTATTTTTTTCCGGTATTATCTCGATATTATAAAACCAGACACGTTTTTATCAAAAATGTTTGGATGGATAATTTTAGTCCTTTTTCCTTTTCACCCTTTTCTTAAGAGGGAAGGAAAAGTGGATTTGACGGTGGAGGAGACGCATAGGAAGGGGATATGTCATCTTTATGTGCGTCTCCTCCGTCAATTAAGGGTAGGCAACTCATCTGCAATTGCGTATGTTTATGGTCGCTTTCTATTTCAGTGGATTCAGATGGCTGCTTGCTCGTTTGCCACCTTACATTATAAAAAAATATATAATTTAGTTAAAATATTTAATTAAAAGAGTTCATAATAATCCTGTCAATTTCTGTTGGCATTTTGTGAGAATGGTTTGAAAAGTAATTTCACCTTATGTATATATGTATTTGATTTGTCGATTATATAACCGAAAAAAATGTATTGCAGATATTGTAAAGAACGGACTGAACTTAATGACTGATAGAGATGTAAGAGTACATACTGTGCACACTACATAGGGGAATATATATATTATGTTCGTATTCACAAATTTATTTCCTACCATTTCGATGAATTTGACTCTCAAAAATCAATTATCTCAAAAGCGAAACCACACACACTTTTCATACCTATTTTCAATTCTGCAATACAGCACGTATCATGCTGTCTCGCTTTACACTAGCCGTTCCCATGCAGTTTTATCCGCATGAAATTATAGGAACTTTACTTTATTTTTTACATTTGTCAAATTCTCAATTTTAAATGTCCAAATAACCAATAACCTTGCTTCCTTAATGTTGGCAACTTGTTTACGGTTTCTTTCCCACATGAAGGTTTTTTCCAATTTATTTACCCATAAAGTAATAGCTTGAATATAGCCTAAAGCGTGTCGTAAGTGTATTTTATTAAAAAAAGAATTATTCAAAAATACACTGTGATTGCTGACTACGCCACGAAGTAGTGTGTTTACGCTTTATCATATTAGTAGATTAAAAAAATACCAGATTTATGTGAGATTATATATATTTAGTTTCGTTAAAATAATTGTTTCCACCATAGTATAATTAGAAAGAGAGGTTATGCTATCTCTTTCTATCACACGTCATGCGCAAGGTTTCGTATGTCGTGTGTAAAAACCGTGGACTCGTCCCGTGCTCGGCCGATTTGTGTTAACAATTAAATACATTTAATATTACACGTAACGTCTGTGCATGTGTGTTGTATGCGCAGATATCTGTGTAACTCGGAACAAGGTGACTGTATACAGGATGTTTTTAACACAAATTTACTCGCGGTAGATCAGCACTGGTACTTCAATTAGGAGAATCCAGCATTTTTAGCTGAGCGAGCCATTCCAGTCAGCATTGCAACGCTAATTTTAAACATTTCTTTCTTTTTTTAATTAATTACGTTTTTCATTATTTTGTGTTTAATTACTTTTTTGATTCATAATTATATTGTTGACAAGGATTAAACATTATTTTATGATTCTTTTATTTTATTTTAATTTTATTAAAGAAAGGCTACTTTTAAATCTTCAATCTTAGTAGTCTTACTTCTTACTAATATTATAAATGCGAAAGTTTAGATGGATGGATGTTTGTTAGCGTTTGTAGCCTAAAAGGCTGAACGGATCTCCATGAAATTTGGCACAGGTTTAGAGCATAGTCTGGAAGAACACATAGGCTACTTTTTATCCCGGGAATAGTTACGGTTCCCGTGGGATTCATTAATTTCGTTTTTTAATGTTTACTCGATCATTCTGCAACGGTTCAACATATTTTATTGAAATTTGGCGCAGATATAAAACAAAGTCTGGAGTACACATGGGATAAGCTTCATCACAGAGAAATGTCCGGTTCCCGAGGGATACGTAGCTTATTGTAATTCATATAGTTTGTACGTTTTTGAATACCACGCGGACGAAGTCGCGGGCAACAGCTCGTTTATTCTAAAGTTATCTGCTTATGTGTACTTTAATATAATAATTATTTATATTTTATTCCTCACAGATCTTACACTGATGTTTAAATTAACGATTTTATTATTTTTACAAGTAATTACAAGTAAACCATTTTTAACATAATTTAGATATCAAAACGTCCGTTTAATTTTTAAGTAATAACATACTGAATTTAAGTAGGTGACTAAATTGTTTAAAAAAATAAAAAGAACAGATAATACGCGAGTTGAGGCGTTTTTCGGTTATGTAGATAAAATAATATGATTTAATCTACAAAAGTATCAGTTCTTAGGTTCTTACCACTAACAGTATAAAACAATCTGATAAATTCTAATCATTTGTACACTAGCTTTCGCCCGCAACTCCGTACGGGTGGAATTAAAAAAACAAAAGTGATTAACCCATGTGTTCTTCTAGATGCCAAATTTCATAGAGATACGTTAAGCCGTTTGGACAATAAACTATAACATCCATCCATCTAAACTTTCGCATTTATAATATTAGTAAGATTTGAATCCTACAAACGAATATTTCTTAATTATGGAGCCACC